GCGGCACCGCCGCCCGCGGGCGGGAGCCTGCGCCGGGTAGGGCGGCGGCGCGTGTAGGGGGCGGCCCCGCCCACGTCGCTGCTTTGAGACGCTGCAGTCGGGACCCCGGGGCTCGAGGAGGAGGCGGTTGTTTCGGCGGGCCAATGAATGAGATCGTCCTGCCTGTGATCTTGCTTCGCAACTTGAGACAGCCTCCGCCTGTTCAGTGCTGCAGAGACCGGTGATTTCGCAGCTTCCTGCTGCCTTGGATGTCATTTAGACCACGAAGGAGGTCCTTGCCAGGGGGCCCTGGGTGCTGTGGGTGCGTCTTCCTGTCCGCTCCATTCATATCTCCAGGCAGTGTCACAACACTGTTCAGTGGCTTTTTGGACTTGCTCAAGGGCAAGTCATACAATCAAGTCATACAGTTGCTCAAGAGCACTGTCATACAATCGTAGAGAGTTATGGTTGGAAGGGACCTCCGGAGGTCAAAGCAGCACCATTCCCAATGAGATCATTCCCTGCAGGGCTTTGTCAAGCTGGGCCTTAAAAGCCTAAACTTCGTTGCTGCAACTTGAGTCTGTTGCTCCTAGTTCTGTCATCACTGAGAACATCTTCTTTTGAACCCTACCTCAGGTAGCTGAAGATTGCAATTAAATTCCCCGTCAGTCTTCTCTTCTCCAGACTAAACGAGCCCAGTTCCCGCAGCCTCTCACAAGTCATGTTCCCCAGCCCCCAAACCATTTTGTTGCCCTCCACTAGGCTCTCTCCAATTTGCCCACAGCTTTTCTGTAGTGGGGGGGGCAAAACTGGACACAGTACTCCAGTGTGGCCTCACCAGTGCTGAATAGAGGGAATAATCACTTCCCTTAATGTGCTAGCATCACACCTACCAATGCAGCCCAGTATGTCCTTATCCTTTTTGGCAACAAGTGCGCCCAGCCAGCTCCATATTCAGCGTATTGTCCACTGTAACCCCCCTGGGTCCTTTTCTGCAGAGCTGCTTCCCAGCCAGTCAGCCCCCAGTCTGTAGTGGTGCATGTGAAAGAGCCTCATCCCAGCCTCCTCGCTCTTTTGTGTTGTCTGTTCCCCTCTCCCTCTTGCACGTCTGTCAACCTGGTTGTCCCGAGTTACTGCCTACATGACTGGCCTCAGATAAGAGGGTGTGAATTTAACCTCTCTATTGTTATGAGCTCTGACCTCACAATATGGGGCATGGGCTTAAGCCCATGTCACTCCTCTAGGTAACTGTTCTGTTTTTCAAACTGATTGACCGGCATCAATTAACATCTGTCCCTGACTGGGTCCAGGTGGTGAAGTCAGGAGGGCTTTTTAAGAGGGTCCCTGCAGGAAAAAGACAGGCGGACATTTTAAAACACACATACAGAAGCAGGGACCTCTGCATCTCTCCTTCATTTGCTGGATGTGGAAGTGAGTAACTTATCAGAAACTTAACTAGGAACTTAGTTTAACGTACAGTACTCTAATTGTGCATCAAGAGGCTACCAAGCTGCTTCTGTTTGTTCAGGGTTATTCTTTTGCTACTTGTCTGATTTGTACCCCTCCCCGTGCCTACCCTCTCTACCTAATAAAGCTGTCTGATATAGCCAGCCTTGTAGTACATGCTTGAAATGGATTGGGCAGGCCTTCTTGCTCCCTTTACTTGGCTGACTTAAGGGAGACTACTTTCTATGCTTCATGTTATAAGAAGCACTCGGATATATCCTGCTGGGGTTAAGAAACCCCTAGGTTTACAGGGTCTATGTAACCCTGGGTGGTACAGGGCCCAGACAAAGACCTGAGTCTGGGTGGTGGCAGCGGTACCCCAGGCTTGTGGGTGTGCTCCAAGTAGGGGGTTGGCCATCAGTGGGCGCCCCTGGGGAGGCATCCAAAGCATGGTTTTTGGCTGGCGCGGTAAGGAGAGCCCCCTACTGGCCTGCCACAGTGCACAGGATTGTTTTGTGCTAAGTGCAGGACTTTGCACTTGTCCTTGTTGAACTTCATGAGATTTCTTTTGGCCCAATCCTCCAGTTATTTAGGTCACTCTGAATCCTAGCCCTACCCTCCAGCGTATCTACTACTCCCCTAAGCTTGGTGTCATCTGCAAACTTGCTGGTACTCTGTGGCATCTTTTAGGTTGTTGATGAAAATATTGAACAAAACCGGCCCCAGGACTGACTCCTGGGCACTCTTTACTTAATACCAGCTGCCAACTAGATAGTGAGCCAATGATGACTACCCTTTGAGTCTAGCAGTCCAGCCTGATTTCTGTCTACCTTAAAGTCCATTCATCCAGCCCATGCTTCCTTAGCTTGTCTGGGAGAATGTTGTGGGAGACCATATCAAGAGCCTTGTTAAAGTCAAGGTATACATCCACTGGTCTCCCTGCATCCACAGGCCCAGTCATTTCATCATAGAAGGCAATCAGGTTGGTCAGGCATTACTTGCCCGTGGTGAATCCCTGCTGACTGTTCCTAATCACCTTCTTCTCCAAGTGCTTAGAAATGGATTCCTTGAGAACCTGCTCCATGATTTTTCCAGGTACCGAGTTGAGGCTGACTGGTCTGTAGTTCCCTGGATCCTCTTCCTTCCCTTTCTTAAAGATGGGTGCTATATTTGCCCTTTTCCAGTTGTCTGGGACCTTTCCCAGTTGCCACGGGTTTTTGAAGATGATGGCCAGCAGCTCTGCAAGTATATTGGCTAACTCCTTTGGCGCTCTCAGGTGCATCACATCCAGCCCTGTGGACTTAGAAAAGCTGAATGTGTACAACTAGTCCCTAACCTGTTCTTTTTCCACTGTTGGCTGCTCACCTCCTCCTCAGACTGCTGCCAGGTGCAGTAATCTGGCAGCTGAACTTGCCTTGAAGACTGAAGTAATAAGGCATTGAGCACTTCAGCCTTTTCTGCATCCTCTTTTCACTAGGTTGCCTCCCCCATTCAGTAAGGGACTCATGGTTTCCCTGACCTTCCTCTTGTTGCTGACATACTTGTAGAAACCCTTCTTGTTGCCTTTAATCCCTTGTTAGTTGCAACTCCAACTGTGCCCTGCCCTTCCTCATTTCATCCCTGTATACCTGAGCAATACTCTTGTAGTTCTCCCTCATTTGTTCATGTTTCCACTTCTTGTAAGCTTCCTTTCTGTCTTAGTTCATTGAAGAGTTCCCTGCTAAGCCAAGCTGGTCTTCTGCCATACTTGCTAGTCTTTTTGCACGTCGGGATGGTTCGTTCCTGCACTCTCAGTAAGGTTTCTTTCAGGTACAGCCAACTCTCTGGGACTCCTCTCTCCCTCAGACTGGTTTCCTAGGGGATCCTGCCCATGTGTTCTCTAATGGAGTCAAAACCTCCATTTCTGAAACCTAGGGTCCTTACTCTGCTGCTTTTCATCCTTCCTTTCTTCAGGAACCTGAACTCTATCATCTCATGGTCATTGCTGCCCAAGTTGCCATCCGCTACTATATCTCCCACCAATTCTTCTCTGTTTGTGAGCAGCAGGTCAAGAAGAGTGCAGCCCCTAGTTAGTCTCTTCAACACTTGCACCAGGAAGTTTGTCCCTGGCACTTTCCAAAATCTTCCTGGATTGCCTGCGCACTGCTGTATTACCCTCCTAGCAGATGTCAGGGTGATTTGAAGTCCCCCATGAAAACCATGTCCTGTGATCAGGAAGTTCTAAGAGGTGTCTGAAGAAAGCTTTATCTACCTCATTCTCTTTGGGTGGTCTACAGCAGACCCCCACCACAACATCACCCATTTTGCTCTTCCCTCTAACCCTAACCCAGACGTTCTACAGGCCTATCTCCATTTTCATACTGGAGCTCTGAACAATAATACAGCTCTGTCATAATGTGCAACTCTTCTCCCCTGACTGTCCTCCCTAAACAGTTTATACTCATCTACGATAGTACATCAATCATGCGAGCTATCCCACCATGTCTGTTATTCCAATCACATCATAGTTTTGTGACTGTATGAAGACTTTCAGTTCTTCCTGCTTGTTTCCCAGGCTCTGTGCATTTCTGTATAGACACCTCTGGTAATTAGCTGATTTCTCAATCTTCCTGAGAAAATACAGCAGACCTCCCCATTGCCCCTTGCTTGTTCTTCCTCCAGGTCATCCACTTACCTCAGGGCTTTGGTCCTCATCCCCCAGTAAACTTAGTTTGAACCCTCTTCACTAGGTTAGCGAGCCTGTCTGCGAAGATGCTCTTCCCTCTCTTTGTCAGGTGGAACCCATTTCTTCCTAGCAATCTTTCTTCTTGGAACAATATCCTGTGGTTAAAGAAGGCAAAGCTCTGCTGCCAACACCATCTATGCAGCCATGCATTGATCTGTAGGATGTCTGCTCCTGCCCAGGCCCTTCCTCTTGACTGGAAGGATCATTGAGAATACCACCTGAGCCCTTGTTCCCTTCACCCTTGCACCCAGAGCCCTATAGTCACTTTTGATCTGCTCAGGGTCATCCCCGCTAGTATCACTAGTGTTTACATGTATGAGCAGCATGGGGTAGTAGCCAGGGCTGGATGAGTCTAGGTAATCCTTACGTGACAGCTTGGATCTGGGCTCCAGTCCAGTGTTTTCTGCTCTGTCCCCCCCTTGGTGGACTCATTTTGAGTCAATGATTGCTCCCAACCCTGTTTTCCCTTTAGCTGTCCCCTGAAATCAATTGGTGTATATCGAATACCCCTCTTCCCCCCCCCCCCCCCCCCAAACAATGGGGGGATAACGGTTGTTCGGTGGCAGTCAAGCTTACATTAACCCTACACATCAAATAGACCTGCTGCATTGAAGTATCTGGTATTGGCCACCCTCGGGAATAGTATATTAGACTAAGTGGACCTCATATATGGCTCATGACTATAGTTCCTTTCACCCAGCTGCTGTTGGTATACATGAGCTACTCTGTTCTTCCATCTTTCTGGTTTTGGGGAGAGTATGACTCTGAGATTCTCTGCCTGCCAGCCTCCCTCATATGATTTCTTCTCTAGAAAAACTGACTCCAGTGCTTCTTGCTGTGGAGGTGCACTGGTATATTGGTTGCCTATTGGATCTGCACAGATAAAAGGGGAAATGACATTATCAGCTATTGAGTTTTTTTGGCCATTGTAGCCAATAATGCTTACTGATAATTATGCCTTCTGGCCAGGGCCTTGGACGCCTGGGTTCCCTTTCCCCTGTGGAGCCAGGGCTCCCGGATGCCTGGATTCCTTTGGGAGGTGGCATTTTTCCCCTTGTAGGGGGGCAGCATTCTAGCCTTCAATAGGTCCTGCTTGGGGCTGCTGGGAGCAAGATGCAGGGGGTGCTGCATACATGTGCGCAGCTGCACATATGCACATGGCCAGGAATACATCTAGGCTGTGTGGAGTGCAGCCCCCTACAGATAAATCTATGGAGGGAAAGGGGCTGTGTGGGGGCATGGGGGTGGTGGATTGAGGCCCTCATGGTGAGGGTGGGAGAGGAGCGGGGCCTGGGGGCTCTGCCTAGCCAGAGTGGTGTATGGCACGTGGGACCAGGGCGGGGAGTGGGATGGAGCCACGGGAAACTCGTCCAGGGAGAGTGAGGAGGGGCTGGCTCCCCAGTACTGCACCCTCCCCCAGGAGAGGCATGTCAGGGAGATGTGCCCCTCCAGACTGTGCACGGGGTGGATGCGGGATGCTCACTGCATGATTGGGGCTTTCTGCTCTGCTGCCTTTCCCTCAGGAGCCCTGTGCCAGCTGCGTGCTCCCTGCCCATTTGGCACCAGTGGGGGTGGGGAGGGGGAGCACGGCCAGCATGGGGCTCTAGGGGCAAAAGCAGCAGAGCGGAGAGCCCCAAGGCAACAGCTGGCAGCCTACATCTGCCCTTAACCTGCTCAGCTTTGTTCCACTTAAAAGTATCCCCACCTTTAAATGGTTGTGGTGGCGCTTCAACTAAAGCACATTTAATGAGCTTTAGTTTAAGCACCAGGATGCTGATAAATGATGCAGGAGACTGCTGGAGCACACACAAATAAACCTTTTTTGTGTATGTCAGGAAATTGGTTATCGGATCGGCATTAGTCAATATGGTTGGTTAATAATTGGTTATCGGTATCAGCCAACAAAATCTTTATCAGTGCACCCCTAGTTTGCTGTTGTTGCTGTTCCTGGCTTTGGAAAGTAGTGGAAGAATGAAATTGCCTTGTTTCTAGTTGGTTTTCATTGTTGCCCATGCCCACAACAGTGAAAACTGGTAATATTCACTTCGGTTCTGTTCTACAGCAGCTTCTTGTTTACAGTAACTTGAATGTCTTTAATATTGTGAACTTGGACTGTCAGCCTTAAGTCTTGCACTTCCCACTGCCTTTGACAAAGTGCAGAGACGGCCTCACCTGAGGCTCAGAAGTCTCAGGCATTTGTTACACTTGGTTCATGTCTGGAAAGATCTGTGGCAACCTTAGAGGCTAGAAGCTGTGCTCTTCTGAAAATTGCACGCTTGGATTCTGCAGAAAATGAAGGCATGTGGTCACAACACAGCCTACAAATGGGGAAACTGTGAGGTGTGCCAAAGTCCCTGTGCATCAGCAAAGTGGTGTCTATTATGGCAGCATCTTCTAGGCCACTGGTTCTCAACCTTTTTTATACCAGGACCCATTTGTAAACATCAATGGCCAATCCTGAACCAGTGCTCCTCACTCCCGACCCCCTGCCTCAGGCCCCACAGTATGTGGGGAAGGGTGTGTGGGAGGATAAGGGGCAAGCAGCCCCTTGCAAGCTGGAACTCTGACAGTCTGCAAGGGAAAACCCATGGTTTCAAAGATGTAGTTGATGTTCATCTCAGCCAGGTGAAATGATGGAAACCAGTTCTTCCATTTTGAAGTTTGACTGCTAATAAAACTTGCTTGTAGCCTTTGAATACAATACTAACAGCTTATTTTAACAGCAGCCTTTCTGTGAGTAGGTTTGAGGAAATCTTCCAGTGGAAGATTTGGATGTTCCAGGTGCTGGTGATTCTCCTGAATCACTTGAAACCATTTTTTTTTCTTCCTCGGAAAGTGTGGAATTTAACTTTTCCCCCCTTGTTTCCTGGGTGTAGTCATAGTAACCTATGGTGTTTGGTTTCAGGTGGCGAGTACAGTGAAGATGATGTGAGTGAGTTGGTAGAGGAAGATGAGGAAGAAAATTTGAACAAAAGGAAAAAAGGTTCCAAAAGTATTGCATGCAGGTAAATGCTGAATGAGCCTTACTTTGTTTGGAGTACCCTACAGGGAATATAGGTGGCTTCTCTGAGAAACCAGTGTGTCTAGCTGCAATAAGCTTGCCTTCTTGGCCCAGTTATACAAAAACGACATAAGTTAACTTTTCTTTCTGTATTATAATGGTATTATGAAAAGTGAAAAACTTACAAGAATAGCGTGAAAGAGAAAACTAGTTTCATTCTGCTAACAGAGCTGTTGAGACAGTGTCCAACTGACCTTCCCAGGGGCCTGCTGAGTATCAGTGTTATAGCCAAGAATAAAAACCAGTAAGTTGCTGACTTTCAAGTGGGGCATGGGAAAACAAAAATTTTTAAATAGGTTTTCTTAAAAAAAAAAAAAAAAAAAAAAATCTTGTTATGTTAAAATTAACGGTAGGGCCACCTGTGTTAATGCCAAAAAATAATAATCTGTTAGGATCATTACATTAAATAAGAGAAAATCAAAGTGTACGGTGTATGTTTGCTGCCAAGGTTTTTCAGCTAAATTCAACTAGCTGAACAGGTGGCTGTCAGTCACTGTCTAATCAGCTGGACCCAGAGTCTAGTGAAGTACCTAACCAGCTTTTGACAGTGCACCCTTTTGTGCAAGTGCAGAGAACCTTTTCTTCACTTCAGCTTCTCAGCTCTAATCACTGACCTCAACTAGCTGAATAAACTGAAGTCAGGGAAGCACTTTTTTTTTTTTTTTCTTTTCTCTTCCAACCTAGGAGTGAAAACAAGTTGTGAGGATGGGTCTATTAATGCTAACATCCTGATGGACACAGTGGCCAAAAACAATTAGTTTAGTTAGCTAAATGGAGAGCATACTTCCTTTGTTTAATAAATCCGTTAGTTTTAAGCTTAAATCATTATGTAGATACACTTTTTTTTCCATCTGTATCTAGCTTGTTTGAGGTATTTTCATTTAACTAATAAAATCATTTTTTAAAATGCTGTTTTTTAATGTCTCTCTTTTTAACTGAATTCCAGTTTCTAGCCAAATGCAGCACAACACAACTTATGAGTTAAAAAAAAAAAAATCTATTAAATGGGAAACATGTTATTGATGCTTTTGGAACATAAATGCGAAAATTAAGAATCTGAAAGGAAAAAACCTTCAAGCTACGTATTTGCTGAGATACGTGTATTTATCTAAAATTTATCCTCTTGTTTAGCAGAGAGAAACACCCAGGTTAGTATGATGGCCATACACTTAGTTGCAAATTAGCATTTTGAATGGTTAGCAACTAATGAAAATTTCCCTTTTAAAAACATGTAAAAAAGACAAATACAAAACCAGGTCATGAAATTGGTTTTAATCACTTTACTGCTTGCCTCTTTAAACTATCATTAAACTTGGCAATTTTAAATAATTTTTAGTTAAACCAATCTCTCCTTGCAGCTTCAGTCTCTTGATTTAAAGGTGTCAAACTTATCCTACCCCATGGGCCAGATCTAGACTATGGGTCACCTTGTGGGCTGGATATGGATGCGGTGAGGGGAGTTACTGCAGCTGTTGCCAGTGGGCATCCCAGTGGGGCTCTGTCCCTGATTTTTGTCAGTGAGCCCTGCCTGCGCTCATCTTGGCCCCTCTACAAGCCCCACAGGCCAGGCAACCTGGCTGTGCAAGCTGCATGCATTCTGGATGTTTGACACCCTTGCTGTGGAACCTTACCAGCTACTTTACCAAGATTGTCCATCTGCACTACCTCTTGCAGTGATCATTTAAATAGTTTTGTCAGAACATTACCCCTACACTTTCTGAGTGGCGTAGTTGATTCTAGCCAAATGGTTCAGTTTTAAGGTTAGTTGAAGCCTTACAGTTTATAAATATAAAAAATATTTTATAACTTCACCCACATTTGTGATTTAATGGGTGGGGCTTTGCTGCATCTCAGCATTTCTGTTGGCATCTGTTCCCAGGAAAAGGAAGAAAGGAGGCCTCTTGTTAGAGCCAGGTGACTCTGAGGAGGCAAAGGCTCAACAAGGTGAGAAGGAAGAGGTGGATAGTCTAAGGCAGGTGGAAGGAGACAGATCAGAAGAAGAAGAGAAGAAGAAAGAGGATGCTCTTTGGGCCAGTTTCCTCAGTGATGTGGGACAGAAACCTAAAACCCTGGCTGCTGCTCAGGTGACCAGTCCACAGACTTGCAAGGTAATGAAGACACCTGGTCTGGGCAGCTCTTTATTGATGGAGTGTGGCAAAGAATCCAGAGAGTAAAAATACAGATACAAGAACAACTAGTTCAGCTACTATTGAGTGGTGGCTCAAACAGTAAAACAATGGATTCCTTCTACCCTTCATAGGCCAGATATGGGAAAGAGCCCTGGTGCCAGCCACAGTGTAAAGCCAGACCCTTTCCTTCTATCTGGAAAGTCCTGACACTTGTGTGTAAAGGTGACCATTGTCCATCATTGTGTTTTCT